AAAGCGCAGTTTTGGGGTGGGAGTTACCCGATTTTCCAGGTGTTGTGTGTCTCAGTTCCTCTGGCTAGGAAAAGGGATTCCCTTCCCCCTTGCGCTTTCCAGGTGAGGCAATGCCTCGCCCTGCTTCAGCTCTCGCTGGTCGGGCTGCAGCAGCTGACCAGCACCGATCGTCTGGCACTCCCCAGTGAGATGAACCCAGTACCTCAGTTGAAAATGCAGAAATCACCGGTCTTCTGTGTCGCTCGCGCTGGGAGTTGGAGACTCCGGGTCTTGACTCTTTATCCAGTTTGTCAGTCTTTGTCTTTTAATTGGACCATTTAGTCCATATTGTTAATATTGTTATGTGTGAATTTGATCCTGTCATTATGATATTAGCTTGTTGTTTTGCTTGTTAGTTGATGCAGTTTCTTCCTAGCATTGATGGTCTTTACATTTTGGCATATTTTTGCAATGGCTGGTACCAGTTGTTCCTTTCCATTTTGGCATATTTTCGCAATGACTGGTACCGGTTGTTCCTTTCCATGCTTCCTTCAGAATCTCTTGTAGGGCAGGCCTGTTGGTGACAAAATCTCTCAGCATTTGCTTGTCTGTAAAGAATTTTATTTCTCCTTCACTTATGAAACTTAGTTTGGCTGGATATGCTATTCTGGGTTGAAAATTCTCTTCTTTAAGAATGTTGAATATTGGCCACCACTCTCTTCTGGCTTGTAGAGTTTCTGCTGAGAGATCTGCTGTTAGTGTGAAGGGCTTCCCTTTGTGGGTAACCCGACCTTTCTCTCTGACTGCCCTTAACATTTTTTCCTTCATTTCAACTTTGGTGAATCTGACAATTATGTGTCTTGGAGTTGCTCTTCTCGAGGAGTATATTTGTGGTGTTCTCCGTATTTCCTGAATTTGAATGTTGGCCTGCCTTGCTAGGTTGGGGAAGTTCTCCTGCATAATATCCTGCAGAGTGTTTTCCAACTTGGTTCCATTCTCCCTGTCACTTTCAGGCACACCAATCAGACGTAGATTTGGTCTTTTCACATAATCCCATATTTCTTGGAGGCTTTGTTCATTTCTTTTTACTCTTTTTTCTCTAAACTTCTCACTTCATTTCATTCATTTGATCTTCAGTCATTGATACTCTTTCTTCCAGTTGATCGAGTTGGTTACTGAAGCTTGTGCATTTGTCACGTAGTTCTTGTGTCATGGTTTTCATCTCTATCAGTTCGTTTATGGACTTTTCTGCATTGGTTATTCTTGTTATCCATTCTTCCATTCTTTTTTCAAGGTTTTTAGTTTCTTTGCACTGGGTACGTAGTTCTTCCTTTAGCTCTGAGAAGTTTGATCGACTGAAGCCTTCTTTGCTCAGCTTGTCAAAGTCATTTTGCGTCTAGCTTTGTTCTGTTGCTGGCGATGAGCTGCGTTCCTTTGGAGGGGGAGATGCGCTCTCGTTTTTTGAATTTCCAGCTTTTCTGCATTGCTTTTTCCCCATCTTTGTGGTTTTATCTGCCTTTGGTCTTTGATGATGGTGACTTACTGATGGGGTTTTGGTGTGGGTGTCCTTTCTCTTTGTTAGTTTTCCTTCTAACAGTCAGGACCCTCAGGTGCAGGTCTGTTGGAGTTTGCTTGAGGTCCACTCCAGACCCTGTTTGCCTGGGTATCAGCAGCAGAGGCTTCAGAAGATAGAATATTGCTGAACAGCAAGTGCTGCTGTCTGATTCTTGCTCTGGAAGCTTTGTCTTAGAGGAGTACCCAGCCATGTGAGGTGTGAGGTGTCAGTCTGCACCTAGTGGGGGATGTCTCCCAGTTAGGCTACTCAGGGGTCAGGGACCCACTTGAGCAGGCAGTCTGTCCTTTCTCAGATCTAAATCTCTGTGCTGGGAGAACCACTGCTCTCTTCAAAGCTGTCAGACAGGGACATTTACATCTAAAGAGGTTTCTGCTGCTTTTTGTTTAGCTATGCCCTGTCCCCAGAGGTGGAGTCTACAGAGGCAGGCAGGCCTCCTTGAGCTGTGGTGGGCTCCACCCAATTTGAGCTTCCCAGTGGTTTTGTTTACCTACTTAAGCCTCAGCAATGGCAGGTGCCCCTCCCCCAGCCTTGCTGCCACCTTGCAGTTAGATCTCAGACTGCTGTGATAGCAATGAGGGAGGCTCCGTGGGCATGGGACCTTCCGGGCCAGGCGTGGGATATAATCTCCTGGTGTGCCATTTGCTAAGACCCTTGGTAAAGCACAGTATTAGGGTGGGAGTTACCCGATTTTCCAGATGTTGTGTGTCTCAGTTTCCCTTGGCTAGGAAAAGGAACTCCCTTCCCCGTTGTGCTTCCCAGGTGAGGCAATGCTTCGCCCTGCTTCAGCTCTCGCTGGTTGGGCTGCACCCATTGACTAGCACCGACTGTCCGACACACCCCAGTGAGATGAACCCAGTACCTCAGTTGAAAATGCAGAAATCACCCGTCTTCTGTGTCACTCACACTGGGAGCTGGAGGCTGGAGCTGTTCCTATTCGGCCATCTTGGGTGCCCCCCCACCTTTTAACTTCTATACCGGAATTAAAAGTGATTTACATACCACCATTACAGTATTACAGTGTTCCGTATTTGCCAATATCTTTATCTTTACTAGTGAGCTTTATACTTTCATATGCTGTCTAGTGGCCTTTCATTTCAAATAGAAGGGTTCCCTTTAGTATATCTTGTAAGGTGGGTCTAGTGGTGATGAACTTCCTCAGCTTTTGTTTATCTAGCAAAATCTTTAGTTTTCTTTCATTTTCGAAGGACAGTTTTTCCAAATACAGTGTTCTTGATTAGCAGGGGTTTTTTTTTCCAGCCCTTTGAATATATCATCTTACTCTTTCCTGTACTACAAGATATCTACTGAGAAATCTACTGGTAGTCTATGGAAGCTCCCTTATATGTGATGAGACTCTTTTCTCTTTCTGCTTTCAAAATTATCTCTGTCTTTGACTTTTGACAATTTGATTATAATGTGTCTTGATAAGGACTTTTTTGGGTTTATCTTAGTTCAAGTCCATTAGACTTCTTGAATGTGGATAGACATTTCCCTCCCTACATTTGAGAAGTTTTTGGCCATTATTTCTTTAAAAACTTTCTATCCTTTTTTCCCAGCCTTCTTTTGAGACTCCCATAATGCATATATTGGTCTGCTTGATGGTGTCCCATAAGTCTGTTAGGCTTTCTTTACTCTCTCTCATTCTTTTTTTTTTTTTCTCCTTTGACTGGATAATTTCAAATGTTGTATCTTCAAGCTCACTGATCTTTTCCTGTTGAACTCCTCTAGTGAGTTTTTTCAGTTCAGTTATTGTATTCTTCAGCTCCAAAATTTGTTTGGTTCTTTTTCATATTTTCTATATCTTTTTTGATATTCTCATTTTGTTCATACATCCTTTTCTTGGGCTTGTTGAACATCCCAGGAGCCTTTCAAAGATATGGATTCCCAGACCTTACTGGCAGAGATTCTCATTCAGTAGGTATAGTATTGGGGCCTTAAAAGCTATATTTTCTTTATCTTTTTATTTATTTATTCATTTATTGAGACAGAATCTCACTCTTGTCGCCCAGGCTGGACTGCAATAGCGCAAGCTCAGCTCACTGGAACTTCCACCTCCCAGGTTCAAGTGATTCTCCTGCCTCAGCTCCCTGAGTAGCTGGGATTACAGGCAGCCATCACCACGCCCAGCTAATTTTTGTATTTTTAGTAGAGATGGGATTTCACCATGTTGGCCAGGTTGGTCTTGAACTATTGGCCTCAGGTGATCCACCCAGCTCGGCCTCCCAAAGTGCTGGGATTACAGGTGTGAGTCACCACGCTAAAAGCTATGTTTCTTAAAGATCCTCCAAGTGGTTCAGATATACATCCAGGTTTGGAAATCACTTCCAGTAAAAAGACCACCTTCAATCCCTCCCCCTTCCCTTATATGAGCTCTAGGGAAGTGGGGAGGTCTAGACTTATATAAAGTATATAAAGTTTTGTTTTGTTTTGTTTTGTTTTTTGAAACGGAGTCTTGCTCTGTCACTAGGCTGGAGTGCAGTGGTGCGATCTCAGCTCACTGCAACCTCCGCCTCCTGAGTTCAAGCAATTCCCCTCCCTCAGCCTCCTGAGTAGCTGGGACTACAGGCACGTGCCACCATGCCTGGCTAATTTTTTTGTATTTTAGTAGAGATGGGGTTTCACCATGTTGGCCAGGATGGTCTCTATCTCCTGACCTCATGATCCACCTGCCTTGGCCTCCCAAAGTGCTGGGATCACAGGCATGAGCCACTGTGCCCAGCCATAAAGTTTTTAAATATAAGCTTCTGGGAAGTGAATAGATAATGGATAGAATATGCAGACAGAAAATCAGTAAAGAAACAGAGAACTTGAACAACACTATAGACCAAATGGACCTTACAGACATATATGTAGAACATTCCACCCAACGGCAACACAATACACATTCTCCTCAAGTGCACATGCAACATTCTTTAGGATGGATCTCATGCTAGGTTACAAAGCAAATCTCATCTCTCCAAGATGCCATTTTCTGCTTAGTAGTATTCCTTTTCTCTGTATCATTTGAAGGTTCTTACAATCCTCCTACCTCCAGGCAGCCTTTCTGGATTAAATCCTGGCTGACCACGAGTTTCTGAAGACTTTCCCCAACCCTTCTGACCCCAAAATGTGGATATGCTTTCCATTTATGTATTAATTTGGTGTTTCCATTCTGTTGGCTTGCTATCTGAGTCTCAGGCCACTGCTCCGTAGAGAGCTTCTGGACTAGGTCTGCCCTAACTGCCTCATTATTATTTGATGACAATGATAGTGAGTGTAGCAGGGATGGGATTCTGGAGACCCAGGTTCAAGTCTCTGTTCTTCTAGAGTATAAACTTGGATAAATTGTGTCCCCTCTCTGAACCTCAGTTTCCTCATCTGTGAAGTGAGGAGTATATATACAGTCTCTGCAATCCTCCTCTAAAGCCTCTGACTTTCTCTTTCGTCCTCTTGTTCACTGGTATAGCTGAGAAAGTGGAATTCCAGAGACACTCCTGAAATTGTCCTAAGTTAAAGGAGCCGAACAGTGTGCCACCTCCCTCTCTGCCATCGCCTCTGAGAGCAGCCATGGCCCTGAGTGATGTCGATGTGAAAAAGCAGATTAAGCACATGATGGCTTTCATTGAGCAGGAAGCCAATGAGAAAGCAGAGGAAATCGATGCCAAGGCTGAGGAAGAGTTTAACATTGAGAAAGGACGCCTTGTGCAAACCCAACGACTGAAGATTATGGAGTATTATGAGAAAAAGGAGAAGCAGATAGAGCAGCAGAAGAAAATCCAGATGTCCACCATGAGGAATCAGGCAAGGCTGAAAGTCCTGAGAGCCCGAGATGACCTCATCTCAGATTTGCTCAGTGAGGCGAAGCTGAGACTCAGCCGGATTGTGGAGAACCCAGAGGTCTACCAGGGGCTTCTGGATAAACTGGTGCTCCAGGGTCTGCTCCGACTGCTGGAACCTGTGATGATTGTGCGCTGCCGGCCACAGGACCTCCTCCTGGTGGAGGCTGCTGTGCAAAAAGCCATCCCCGAATATATGACAATTTCCCAAAAACATGTGGAGGTCCATATTGATCAAGAGGCATACCTGGCTGTGAATGCAGCTGGAGGTGTGGAGGTCTACAGTGGCAATCAGAGAATAAAGGTTTCAAATACCTTGGAAAGCCGACTGGATCTCTCAGCCAAGGAAAAGATGCCAGAAATACGAATGGCCTTGTTTGGTGCTAACGCCAACAGAAAGTTCTTTATATAAGCCTCTGGGAAGTGAAGCTAGTGTTGAACCACTAAACCACGAAAGTTTAAGTTTTGGGGGGAAAGGAAACTAGTAGTATTTCCTCCTCTTTGATGCTCTGATATTGTTCTGTTTTTCTTCATGAAATACCCCTTGGATGGCTAAAGTGTTAACTTTGAAATAAAGCCCAAATTAATGCTCAGAATTCAAATTCCAATTCATCCATACATGCCACAGCTTCTGGTTCATTCTGCAGTCTGGGATGTGGGGAGTGATGACATCTGCTCTTCAGCTTGGCCTCAGGTGGTGAATGTGTGAGATGTGAATAGTGTTCTTGACCTGTGGATCTGGGTGCTCTAGTTTAATATGCATATGAAGTGTGTTTTTCTTCCTTTGTTTCAGCTTCAGTACCCAAACTGATGTTATTTAATGAGGTCTAGAGGTTTTCCTCACGTGTCCAGAATCAACTTAATGGGCATCCAACCAGCACAGTCACACAGGGACCCATGCTCTGAAGGGCCCAGCACCTGGGGTTTCGTGATCTGTATTTGCTGCCCTGAAATTCCTAATTTCATCTTTGAATGTGTATTTTGTAAGTGACATTGATGGAACATTGGGGCATGTGCCAGGGGTTTGGAGCCTTGGCTCACGCATGGTACTGACTCCCAAAGTCTACCTACCTTCTTTGGATGGGTTGTTGGCTAACCATTTCCCAGTCCTCTGGTGCCCTGAGGCCCAGCCTTCCTCCACCTCACCCAGTGAGCATTGCTTCCCTCTGCCCCTGGCGGGGGCCTGGTGTACATGCAGGGAGGGTCAGAGTGGGATTTCATGCTCTGTGGAGTTTCAGGGCTAGAAATCCCTGCCCAAGGCTGGCAGCTCCGTGGCATATTCAGTAGACAACTTGGGGGAAGGGGTGAGTCTCTTACCCACCAGATACTGAGCCTGTCCTGGTGTAGAGGTTTAAAGGCCCTAGGAGTTACTGTCCGCTATAGGGCAGCCTGCCCACTGGAAGGAGAGATGCCAGCTCAGCTTCCCTGATCCTGGCCCAGGCCCACACTTGTGGCTAGTGGGAAGGGGCAGCCAACAGCCAAACTTGCCGCACCAGAGTCTTAGGGCAGGACCCTCAGGAGCTTGTAAATGTCTGCACTTGGCCTGCAAAGTATCCCTGTGCCTGGCAGCGTCCTCCCTTGGACAGTTCAGTGCCTGGGGGAACTTGGATGCATCTTTTCTGGCCAGTGTGAGGCACTTTCTGGGAGTAGCCAAGAAATACAGATTATATAATTTTTGTGACTTGGCATGTAGGCATTGCACAATAGAAAAGTAAATGGTAGAATTCATGCTAATAATTTAAACTTGAAATGGTAGAATTCATGCTAATAATTTAAATTTTCTTCACTTAAAAAGACATTAAATAGCAAATAAACACTATGAAAAGTCAAGAAGAGACTACAGAAGAAAGAAAAAAGCTTTATACTTTAGTGCCGTTCATGGCACTTCTTTCCTGCTTTTTGAACAAAGAATCTCACCTTTTCTTTCTTCTTTCTTCTTCCTTCTTCCTTTTTCCTTCTTCCTTCTTTCTTCTTCTTCTTCTTTCTTCCTTTCTTCTTCTGTCTCCTTCTCCTTCTCCTTCTCCTTCTCTTTCTCCTTCTTCTTCTTCTTTTTTGAGATGGAGTTTCTCTCCTGTTGCCCAGGCTAGAGTGCAATGGCACAATAGTGGCTCACTGCAAACTCCGCCTCCCGGGTTCAAGTGATTCTCCTGCCTCAGCCTTATAGGCTCATGCCACTATACCCGGCTAATTTTGTATTTTCAATAGACATGGGGTTTCACTATATTGGCCAGGCTGGTCTCAAACTCCTGACCTCAGGTGATCCACCCGCCTCAGCCTCCCAAAGTGTGGAATTACAGGCGTAAGCCACCGTGCCTGGCCAGATCTCACATTTTCATTTTGCACTGGGCTCTGCAGATTACATAGCGGGTTCTGCACACATATGTGTGATTTAAGGTCTAGTCCATACCTGATGTTGCTTTATTTGTTAAAATAGAATTTTTTTGAAGAAAAAAAATCCCAAGATGCTCTGCTGAGGGCAAAGGTTGGCCTGTGTGGTTAGGACTCTGTAAGGAACAGAAACTTCATGAAACTCAAACACAAAGTAAGGGACAGGCTACTAGTACGTGGGGGTGTCTCACAGAACCCAGAACAGGAATCCTTCATGATCTCAGGAGAGGGCTGGAATTGGGACTCAGAAAGCCATCTGAAATCCTTTATGTGGTCATTTTTCTTTCTTTAAGGAGTGACTTTCTCTGTTGCCCAGTTTAAATGGTAGAGTATGCATGCCCCACAATTCCAAAGTTGACATGTTATAGTTCCAGAAACAAACTTGCTTCTCTTGAAGTCCATTCCACTTTCCCAGAGGGAATCTATTTGGCCAAACTGGGGTCAGGTGTCTATCTATGGTCCAGTTGGTGTCTGGGGCAGTTCCCAGAGAAAGAAGGGTCTTTGTCAGCTGGACAGACTCCCCACAGGGTGTCTTCTATGTGGACCCTTTTGAGTTTCAAATTTAGTCATTCAATGAGAATTTTTTTTTTTTTTTTTTTTTTTTTTTTTTTTTTGAGATGGAGTCTAGCTCTGTCGCCCAGGCTGTAGTGTAATGCCGCAATCCTGGCTCACTGCAACCTCTGCCTTCTGGGTTTAAGCGATTCTTCTGCCTCAGCCTCCCAAGTAGCTGGGACTGCAGGCGTGTGCCACCACACCTGGCTAATTTTTGTATTTTTAGTAGAGATGGGGTTTTACCATATTGGTCAGGCTGGTCTCGAACTCGTGACCTCATGATCTGTCCGCCTCGGCCTCCCAAAGTGCTGGGATTACAGATGCAAGCCACTGCACCCAGCCTCAGTGAACATTTTCTAAATGCCAGTGATGAGCCAGGCACTGTGCTGGGTGCTGGGCTGCAAAGAAGAATATGATCTGGTTCTGTTCTTTAAGGAGTCATAGACACATAAACAGATAATGATCATGATAATGATACAATGTGGCAAGTGCCAGCCTAGTGCTGATGTGAAACCCTGTGGGAAGACGGTGGCAGGAAGGGAGGGTAACAGAAGGGTTCCTGGGCGCTGGCAGTTGAGCTGGGGAAATCCCTCCAGGCAAAGGAAGGAAAGCATGTGCCAAGGCCCTGAGGTGTGAAAATGCAGGGTGCATTAGAGGAGCTTTGTGTAGTTCGGGGTGATGGAATGTGAGGGGTGAGGAGGAAGAGACCATGGATGAAGGTGGAAAGATGGGCCTCATTACAGGGTGTTGCTCTGGAGGTTGGTGGGGTTTTTTGTTTGTTTGTTTTTGTTTGTGTGTGTTTGTTTTGTTTTGTTTTTGAGACAAGGTCTTGCTGTTACCCAGACTGAAGTGCAGTGGTGTGATCTTGGCTCACTGCAACCTCAAGCTCCTAGGCTCAAGTGCTCCTCCCACCTCAGCAGGTTACAGCAGGAAGTGGGAGCCAAATTTCCAGAAGGGGATAGACTGGGGGCTTGGTCCCCAGCCCTGAGTAGCTGGGACTAGAGGCATGCACCACCGCACCTGGCCAATTTTTTTTATTCTTTGTAGAGACAGGTCTCACTCTGTTGGCCAGGCTGGTCTTGACCTCCTAGGCTCAGGCAATCCTCCTGCCTTGGCCTCCCAAAGTGTTAGAATTACAGGCGCGAGCCACTACACCTGGCCTGCTCAGGAGTTTTGACTTAATTCTGGTGGGTGAGTGATAAGGAGGTCATTGAGGGACTTTAAGAGTGAATGAAACAATGAGAGCAGGACTTTCAGAAAGATTATTCCAGTGTCGCTGTGGGTGGAGGACACATTAATGCAGGGGAGAGACTGGAGGCAGGGGGCTCCTCATGAGAGCACGGGGGCTATTTATCAGCCTGAGAGGTGATAAATAACCTTACCCGCTCTTTCGTGAGGCAGGTGAACTTCATGATACAAAGGTGGAAGAGATTAGAATCAGTGACTTCTGTCCTATGCCTCCTCCCTTCCCCCACCCCAATAAATTTTTTTCACTTGTCCAGGCTGAGGCTTTATTACAGTTTCATATCATCTTACAGTTTTTTCTTATGAGAGTCTCCCTACCCTCTGAGCTTTCCCCACTCTCTCCTCACCATCATTCCAGGCCCAGCAAAGCACCCACTTCCCAGCTCATCAAGCCCCCAGCCCCTCCCCTTCCGGGAAGTCAGCCCCCACTTCCTGCTGTAACCCTGGAGTGTCTGAACCCACTCGGCCTATCCTAGCTCTGGCCCCCTGAGCCACCCTCAATCTGTTAGCTGCCCCCAACATCAATTCACCTCCCCCAAAAATGGGCAGTCGTAGGTTTTATGAAAGGTTTTGTGGGAAGTTGAGGAGAGCATTGCATCGTACCTATGGGACAAACTTTCCCCTAAGTCGCATTTAATTAAGCATCTCTATGTTTTCCAGCTTTTCTCTCTGCTGGAGCTGCCACACATTAGCTCTTTCTCCCCCAGCATTCTCCCTCAACCCCATGGGTTCCAGCCTTTTCCTCACCATGTCCCCTCAGCAACACAAAAACCTTGACCTCCCGCAGTCTCTGGATGTAGGGACTGTGTCTCTCATTGAGGACACACTGCTTTTCTTTACTGTCAGCAACTTTATCTACTGTGTCTCATCTTTTTAGACACACCTCCTTATGGACAGAGACTGTGTCTTTTCTCTTTTTTGCATCCCCTGCTACTGCGTTACTTCAGTGCCTAACACAGTAGGTTCTGAACAAGTGTTGATCATTGTTACATTCTTCTCTCCAGGCCTAGCTCTGGGTTATGGATGGAGGACTCCAGAGCCTCTCTCCTCTCCTAGTCCATAGATTTGGCCATAAAAAAAAGGGCAAGGATGTGAGATGGTGGTCAGGGGAAAGGTGGTGCATTGTATTCCAAGGATCTTCCTGGACAAGAAAATACCCTATTGGTCCCAGGGAAAGACTGTGGATGGGAACAGCCTGAAACTCAGGCAGGATGTGCCCCCTGCCTCACTTCAGTCCAGTGATTGGTTACTCCTGGGCTTGCCTGAGGGTTTATTGAGTCCCATCCCTCCATGGGAAACAGATGGAAGGGGCTTTGCTTTGGACCCGGGTGCAGAGGCAGGAGGTTCTGGAGGGACTGGGCCTGGTCTGTGTCCTCCATGGAGGCCTCAGCCGTGGGAGAGGCACATCTTA